GCCCGGCCAGTAAATATTTTTTAAAAAGCCACTCATACTAAGACAAGTGCTTTGACTCTGACATTGGTTTCTATGCTCCTAACACATAGAGTTCATGGCCACAGCAGAATGCTTAAATGACCTAGGAGCTTTCATTCTGAGAAATATAAGCGATGCAAATAATAAACAGCTGAGATATTCTTTCCAATGATACATGCCTTCCCCATTTCATTTGTTCAGTCATTTAGGTATTTATTTTCAGAAATCTAGAACAGAAATTCTATTTTTAATATCTGCCTACCAATCTTAATAAAACTAGTAAAATTCAAGAATTTGTTTCTATATAAGAGCAATGTTACAGAGGACATACTTAGTCCATACTTGGTTCCATTTTTCTTCAGGTATTCATACATTTCTTTGGTTATTTGTGCACTAATCAACGTATGAAGTTACAATCAGATTGTTGCTATTCCTCATATACGTATATAGGATCAATTACATCATAGGCAGTAAACTAGTTTTCATGTTACACCTCAAAGTTCCGGGCACAGGTGTTTATTGTCCATAATTTATACATCACCAAACTTCATCTTTGGTCCAGACTTGGGGCTCTTTTTCTTTATTCATATCTTCATTTATTGATAGATTAATTCATCAACTCACTAATAAGTAAACACCAAAGAGTCAGAAAAATTCAAGAGCAAGATTCTTGAATATCTAATATCTGTCTATAAAATTATTTCCCATAGACACTATTTTTATTTTATTAATTTAATGCAGTGTTTCACGTACAGATTAACCAACATAAGGTATTACATCAATTCCATTCTTAAGATATTAACTGATTATATGCCAAAATACTCAAACCGAGCCAAGAATATTGACTCACACTGGTCCCCATGCACCTACCCAGGGGCAACCATACACCTTGTGACTATGAAAGAATCCTTAAATCAGTGCCAGTACATCCCTTTTAAGAAGTACAAAGCAAAGCAGCTGATTTTAAAAACTAAGGTTCTTTGTCGAACTTTGCTTTCCGTATTTTATTCCAAACCAGTCGTTTAGGTATTTATTAATTTTTTCATAACATACATGTTCATTCTGAACAAAACTAGCAACTTCAAATGGACTGATCCAAGCAATAAAATTGACTCATTTCCCAGCATCTATATGATTACTAGTCAAAAAAAGGTAACACCCATGGGTCCATTTCTTCCCTCCTTCCTTCCTTCCCTCTTTCCTTCCTTCCTTTTTTCCTTCCTTCCTTTCTTCCTTCCTCTCTTTCTTCCTTCCTCTCTCCCTCCCTCCATCCCTGCCTCCCTCCATCCCTGCCTCCCTTCCTTCCTTCCTTCCTTCCTTCTTTCCTTCCTTCCTTCTCTCCTTTCTTCCTTCCTTCCTTCCTTTCTTCCTTCCTCCCTCCCTCCCTCCATCCCTGCCTCCCTTCCTTCCTTCCTTCCCTCTTTCCTTCCTTCCTTCCCTCCTTCCTTCTTTCTCTCCTTTCTTCCCTCTTTCCTTCCTTCCTTCTTTCCTTCCTTCCTTCTCTCCTTCCTTCCTTCCCTCTTTCCTTCCTTCCTTCCCTCCTTC